GGTTTACAACAGGTCCAACAAAAAAAATTTAAATGTTTGCTTGAGTGAAAGTTTGCTTTATGTACTCGTGGCTGCGAGGGTTGCCGCCGACTGAGACGTTGTTGTCGACGTTTGGCGGCGACGACGGTCGTAATTTGGTTGAATTGTTACTGGGTCTATCGTGTCGACTGGGGCCTGACTGAGTGAAGCAATCAGGTGGAGTCTACGTCGACAACTCATTCCAGAATATCTTGTTCGACTTGTGATGGAAATGTATAAAAATACTAAGACTCTTGTCTGCACAACGGTTGGAAACACAGATGCATTTGACATCGGCGTTGGAGATCACCAAGGCTCGATTCTCAGTCCACTGTTATTTATAACTGTGATGGAAGAAATCACTAAACCGATACGCACTGGTGACATTTGGAATCTAGTATATGCTGATGATATCGTTTTAACAGCCACGTCTGAGCAGAATGCAGCACAGATGTTTGAAGATTGGAACACCAGACTCGCCGATCATGAATTCAAAGTCAACATCAGCAAAACCAAAGCAATGAACACTGGTGAACCCATCCAATCCACAGCTACTGGGTGATGACCCTGTTCAGTTTGTAAAGCTGGTGTTGGTAACAATTCAATCAAGTGTCAGCAGTGTAACTGGTACTTTATCTAAAGTGTCCAATTTTGTTTGTCCTGCTTGCATCAATCCACAACAACAAATTCGAAATAGTACTGTTTTTGAAGCCATTAAGGTAGAGAAAGTCAAATCGTTTCAATATCTAGGGGATGTTCTGGATTGTAATGGAACAGCTGAAGCTGCCGTTCGAGCACGCATACGTGCAGCCTGGAATAAATGGCATCTCCTTGCCTCTATATTGATGCGGCGTGACATCCCACTACCATTACGATCAAGACTTTATAAATCTGTGATACGTCCGGTGTTGTTATATGGTGCAGAAACATGGCCAATGACAACCAAACTGGAACAACAACTTCAACGAACCGACATGAAAATGCTCCGATGGATGCAACGAATTAGTCTGAAGGACCACATCAAATCTACCGAAATCCTGCGTCGTGCTGGTTTAGATGATATAAAGGACGAATGCCTGTTTATGAGGGGGTTTGGTCATGTCAAACGAAGTGAAAACAGTGCCATAATTTCTCTTGCAGATGTTGAAGTACCTGGCACACGTCCCAAAGGCCGTCCAAAGAAGTCCAGGTCGCAAACAATCGAACAAGACATGAAAGCTCTAAATTTAAATGAAATGGATACAACTGATCGTCTAATTTGGCGCATAAAGTTGATGGCAAAGAGAACAAGGTCCTACCTCGGGAAACCGGATCTCTGGACGCAAAACGAAGATTGATTGATTGATTGATTTGTTAACAGTCACACACAGTTCAGTTTGTTCTTTTTTAGCAACAACAGAGTCTCAGATGAATCATCACACAGTCTATTTCTTTTTGGTGTAAGAATCAGTCCAGCTTGACTGAAAAAACGTTCAACGGGAGCCGATGATGGCACAGTTGTGTTGTATTTTAGAAGCAATCTTGCATCAGTAAGATACCTGAATAACGTTAATTAAGGCTTTTAACTATTGTTATGTGGAATATAATAAAGACTTAAGTTTTATTCAATAATTCAAAATTGAATTGTAATATAACTAAACTGCTTTTGTTTTATAATACATAACATTGAGATTAGTTGATAAGTTAACCTCACTTAACTCTTTAGTTGCTCCATATCATGTGAAGAGTCATTGAGATACTGCAGCCCTTCTACTTTATGGTTTAAACCTGATTCAGAGTTAGGTTCATGGAAACCGTAAAAATCAAAATCTCGACTTGTGCATGATGTGGACTTTTTATTCTCACTAAAAATTGTGAGGCTATTGATTCGATTCACTTCCGCCAGAAATAATCTTCGGCCTGCTGGTGAACTGAAGGTGGCATCCACCTGATCTTAAAAAATGGATGGCTAATTGATGCAACAACATAAGCCTTCATCTTGTTGTTATTGGATATATTGTCAAACTCCAATATATCACCAAAGCGCTTCATCATTCCTTGTTGAAGAGCCGAAACTAAAGCTGCAGCATGCGATGGTGTGAACGATTCAAGTTTTTTCTGGATAACAAGAATAGCTGGTAAGATAGATAGCACCAAAGTATGACCCAACAGAAGCTTCTCCTTGGAGCTTGTCAAGAGCTGGTGAAATCGGTCTCATTAGTTTTAACCATTCGCTGAAAAATTCAATTCTATACTGCTAAACTTCGGCAGCTGCAGACGCTCCATCACAATATTCACTTTATCTTGTAAGCTATGTATAATATTATAGCTTTTAAACTCAGAGTTCCAACGTATTCCATTCGGTTTGGGAATTTTTCTACCCAAGATCTCATGCACAACTTCAGCAGCTTTTGAACTCTGGTGGGATGCACTGCTGAGACTGACACACTTACTGGAGACTGATGTATACATTCTTTTATAATTGCCATTATTAATAATGGCTTTGCTTGTGCATCAGTTGTAGCCAGCAAGTTTAGAGTGTGTGAGAAGCAGGAAAGATGAGAAGGAAGATAAATTCCTGAATTGTCATCTGTATTACATTCCACAAATTTCTCCCTTATATTAACATGAATAGCTTTTTTTTCATCTGCCTGAGAATCATCAAAAATGCCTGGTTCAGCAAATTTCATGAAAGCTTTCAAGAAATTACTGCCATTATCTGTTACAACATTTACTATCTTGGATGAATCAAGATCAAATTCCACAGAAACGAAAGGCAAGTGCACGCTTAAAATCACCAGGATCAATCCAGTGGCAAGTCACACCAATGTAACTGCGAGCCTTTTGTGTCCAAATGTCAGCAGTTGTACAATTATATTTGCATTCTTTTAATTTTTCTTTAATAACCTTTTTCATGTTGTTGAACCGCATGTCCAGCATACCTTTTAGTGTTTCTGTACACATCACATGGTCTTTAGCTAGGATTCACACCTTGCATCAATTGCACCTTCTCCTTCAACAGCAAGTGGCTGCATGAGAATAACTGCTGAGAATAACAAAATTAGCAATTAAGTCATTAAACTTTTCATGTGATACAGATGAAAAATCAAACTTTGTCTGTTTTGTGGGTGGAGTTGAGACTGTGCCATCTTCATCTGCACCTCGCTTCACAGTCTTCAATTTATTTTTATTTTCAGGCATCATTTTTAGATATTTTTCTCCATGAATCTTCTGTACATAAAAATAAAAAAAAACAATAGATTTCACTCAAAAATAACATTAATAAAATTATAGCATTAAAATTTAAAATAAGAATTAGATTAACTTTAACAACAGACCTTAGATGTCCAAGAATAAGTTGTTTATTTGGCTTGCACAAGCTATAAGCTGCAACAATAACTTCACCATCATCTTCAACAACTTCGAAAAAATAATTCCTACCTACTAAAGGCAAAATCCTCGAGTTTTTTTCATCACGCGCCATCTTGATCAGAATTCAGAATGTAAACGAAAAACGGAAACTAATGAGCATAGATAAAAAAATGATTGCTTGGAAATTAAAAATTAAAATGGTTACGAGCGATGTCTAAGGTTCTGATCAAACTCAACAATTATTTTAGTCAGTACTTATAACAAAAATGTTTTATTTATAAGTATAAGTACTGAAAAAGTATTTAAGTACAAGTACGTAAGTACAATTTTTTTTACATAAGTACAAGTATATAAGTACCATTTTAATACTTAAGTACGTACTTAAATATCAATGTACTTAAGTTCTCTTCAACACTGCAGCCTACTCGAGATATATTAATTAATTTACGTCAAAAAACTGACCAGCTTTTGTAACATTTCACCAACAGAAACATCGTTTTAAATATCTGCTTTCTTTCCCGGGCTCGTCTATTTATACTTTTATACTCAATGGATTGGCCGTTATATTTACCTGCTTAATTATCATTGGTCATTGGTCATCAATCTAATTTAATACTGCATCACCATTGCGCAATCTTAAACCGGTCGCAGCTAAAACCCTGACACATTTCTCCACAACCTGGTCTTCATCTAGACTCATGCTGTGTCTGATTCAAATACTACCTCTTCAGAGGTAACCCGTTGTGTTACACAAGGTTTAGTACCGTCATACATCATGTACACTGCTGATATCATTAATGTCATGGAAACACCAGGTCTTTATTGTCACCTTTATTGTCACCTTCAACTATATGGATTTGGACCGCCGAAATAATCACATCATGTAAAGACTATTGTGTCGGATGCAGTCAACGCAGTGGTAGATTGGACGCTATCAAACGGGTTGAAACTCAACAACATACGCAGTATATGTGCATGGGAACATCGCACGGTCTTGGTCACATAAATAAATTCAAAGATCCAGTAGCTGCTAGTTGTCGATGGTTTTTCTTGCAAAGGTAGGTTGCCATTACTTGCTGTCCACCGCATCATATACGCTGAGTATATGATAGCCATTGATATGTTTGACTCAGCGCGCATTTGAACCTCTGAGCCATCTCGCCAGTCAACATGCGACAACTTATGTCGTCTCTCCATTTATCGACCTCGGAAGGATGGACAGCTGGATTGGCCGTGGGTCGGCTACCCGGATGAACCTGCAGAAACTGCAGGATTCGTAATAGTAGACGGACACGTTAACCACTTGGCCACGAGAACCTTTTTCACTCGGAATTACGATTAACTTTTGTTGTTTTTACTATTTTATTTGTTGTATCAAAGAGTAGTCAGAAGGCTATTATTAAATTTTTGAGCCTGTGCTGCGTAAGTGTAAATTAAACGCACATAAAACGAGTATTGACGGTCAAATTTGTTTGTCATTTATGTTTCCCGCATTTGCCAGATACCAAAAAAATCTTTTTGCAATGGTTGTAAAAAATATTTCTGTTAATCGCTGTTAAACTTTGTTTTTGTTAGTGGGCAACGGTTAGTTTTTCATTTTAAATTAATTGATTGTTTAAATTTGTTTTCAGCCCGTTTTACATGTTAAAGATGATTTTTACATTTTGAACGATAGTAGCAATCATGCAATCGCATTCCAACTTGATGGTGATAATGTGACTAAGCTTATTAGGTTTATTTTTTACTCATCATTTAATACATATAAACTTTTTCACATTATTACACACATAAGCGTTTTCATTCACAAAACTAAAGCAAAAGTCATAGGATAGTAACTTAGATGATAAACATGTCTTCAAACATAGATCATGATTAATTAATTTTAATTAACTATGATGATATTACATGTCTTCAAACATCGATCATGATTAATTAATTTTTTTCATTGATAATCAACGTTCTATCAATAAAGCAATAAAGAATAATTTAGTTGAATGTAAAAATATAAAACGCAAAACTGTTTGAGAATTTCGAGAACTCATCTAAATGCGTATCAAGAATGATTCTCAACTGTTAAAGTGATAAGCATATAACATCACACGTGTTTCAACCAGAAGATTTCCTTGTCCAAGCGCATAACATCAGCTTTTACCAAGAACGTTCTTAATGGTAAGTAATTAGAGCTGGATTTTATAGTCTTTTCTGCTTTTTCTGCTCTTGGCCTTTGCATGCATTTCAGTTTTTCAATTTGGTAGAAGTTACATATTTCTTTCAAATGCTCATTGATGGACTATTAAATATCGACTGCTTTTCTTTGCTTAGCATTAGCCAACTTGATTTGAAGTTCTGAAAATTATTTGGAAGAATCTGTATCGGTTTGCATACAATAGTAACTCTGGTAGCTTATTTCATCCTGATGCTGGAAGCCCACTTAACTCGTTCCACAAAAATTTCAATCTTGCATTTTGGCCAGATTCATCTACATTTGAATTTGAAAAAATTACTACAAACTTGGAACAGTTTATCTTTAAGTTGACGCTTCAAAAGCTCTTTTTTAATTCTTCCCACACTTCAAATGTTGTGCTCTTGTCCATTATTTTCTGATGTTTCTTCTGTGACTGCATTTGTGATTATTGACTGAAATAACCGTTTGCCTTTCTGAACGAATCTGCTTTTTTTAAAATCTTTTTTCGTTGTTCAGTTTGAGTTTCCTATGACAATTCTGGTCTCAACAACTTTCCATGAATAACATCAACAGAAAACTTCGAACTTGACGTTTCTAAATGGGCCAATCTGCTGCGCAACTCAACTGTTTCATTAGATTGAATCCATATTTTATGTTTCAAAAACATTTATTCAAATAAAAAATTGATAATATATTCTTTTAAACTTTATTTGGTTTAGCGATCTAGGCCCATATTCTGTTGAAATATAATTTATTAAAACAAATATTCATAAGAATAATATTTATTTATAAAAACAATACACGTGCTCTTGGCTAGCTAACTGAAAAGAAAGAGGAAAGGAAACGTATCTGTAAAGCAAAGTAAACAGAACTTATTGAAAGTCATAAAATAAATATTTTAGAAACACACAAGTATATAATTTAATAGTTATAGTTAACAAACCAAAGTGAGAAAAAAGTTTATCTACATAAGCAGTCTTATTTAGTCTTATTTAAGTAACTGTAGTTAGAAAATGTTCACGTTAGGACTGTATCCTCATAGAGTATGCTGGAAAATAAATGCACGATATAGTTAAAGTAGAGTTGATTTATTAATTTTGTTTATAATTTTAGATGAGATTGTATTAATGTATTCAGCTCTAGAGAGCTGTTAAGAAATAAAAGACTAAGAAATTTATTTTGCTGTTTTTTCTTTAGCAAGTCGTCATTTAGGTGTAAGGTTTCAAAAGTGTAAGTTGATTTATAGTCTGTTGCAAAAGAGTTGATTCATTGTATTATGTTGGATTCAATTCGCAAGAAATAATTACATTGTTTCATCAGATATATATAATATTTTTGACAATTTATTTATATCATTAATTAGACTTTTTAAAATTTAAAACTTCAACATTTGAGTTTTTGGTGGAATAAAATTTTCTTACAGGCATGTATGTGATTGTGCTATATATTTACAAAACAATGAAATACCACACAATCTGTTCATCACAAGAGGGTCACATTTTAATTTTCCACTCAGATCTACAATAAGGATATTCATATGGCTAAGGAAAAAATTTGTTGGTATGTTTTTGCTGTTTTTTACATTTCCAAATTTATTTACTCATTGCTACCTCACTTATTTTTTACTCTCTCATTAATTCATTTTTTCTTTTTTAATTACTTATTTTGATTATTAAATTGTTCTTCCAAATTTTTCTTATATATTTTATATATTTCATGCCATTTTAATGTCTAATTTGCATAAGAAATAAGAATATATCGATTAAACAAAAATGTGTGGAAAAGGCTATGAAGAGAGACATGGAATGAGGAAGAATACTATATTTTGGGAATTGCGTGGACATGTTTAGGAAAAACAAGCAAGCGGCTTTATAATATACGAATCGGAAGAGAAGGTCAAAGATCTTTAAAAATGTTAGATTTATCAACATTGAAGAATGCATGAGATGACATTAGTTGCAGGTTTGTGAATTATTCTTGAGGCGGGAATTAAAAAGTAAAAATGTTAAAACCTAGGATAAAAATAAGATTGAAAGGGAGTTTTTTTAAAAAAACTTTTTAGGAGGCAAGCTAAGAAACGATATGGCTATGACTTCAAATGTAAAACAGTTGTGGTTTGATTGATTGCAGCTATAAAGAGAAAAGCTTTCGAGTAAATTTTTTTTAATTTTTCTTTAACAGACGCAGAAACTCTTACAGCATGCAAGGCAGTGGTATAAAATTAAACGAATAAGTAAATAAATAGATAAATAAACGGAGAAAGAAAATTTTTTAAGCATGAAAAGTAAAATAAAATAGAATAAAATAAATAATAAATAAATCAGCGTTCCAACATGAATTCAAACTATTTTCATATTTCGCTAGTTTGTAGTTTCTTGATTTTAGCAATTTTGTTTCATGGCACACCGTTAACTCGATAATTTCAATTTTGCTGTTACGCAGAATGTCGACGGATGGAAGATGAACAGTTGCGATATTGGTTGAACTCCTTTCGACTCGATATCTTTGAATATTAGGCAATCAAGAGCATGTCTTTAACCAATTAACGATCTCAGATAGAATTTTATCGTGACGTTCTGTATATTTTGCCATCGCAGCAATCGATACAACATGTTTGTTAGTTTGCTTTGCGCCGCACAGAGAATATAGAGAACCATCTTTCCATAATAATACTAAGAATAATAATAATAAAGACAATAATAACAATAAAAGCATTAATAATAACAATAATAAATTGAATTAAATTTCGCGCTTCTCAATTTTGACGCTGTTTTTGCCGTTGTTAAAATAATTTTGATAAAATGTTTGTTAATAAAAATAAAGCTTCAATTTTAAACAGACTCAATTTTGTTGATAAAAATTTATTAAGACAAATTGAAAAGTTCGAATATAAGTTGATAAACACTAATAAATTTTTGGAATTTATTACACACACACACATACATATATACATATATTATATATATTATATATATGTGTGTGCTGGTAGAAGACCGAATTTTTGGAATATGTAATAAATTCCCTTACCCTAACAATCAACAGCACCACACCCTAAGAATCGCAGAAGCCATTTTCATCGAATTTGAAAAATCTTCCAACTTGACGAATGAACAACAATAACGTTAATCGGATCAACCAGCTATCTAACAATGATGATAATAACAATAATGATAATAACAACAACACCATCAACAACAACAGTAATAATAATAATTGAAACTCTTTTATTACAAGAAATCAGTGACATAAAATAGAATAAAATATAGTCATTTATAAATAATTAAATACACAATAAATCCTTATTACTCATTATCTATGATAAATGTACTTAGGTGACATATTTAAACGGTTATACAATGTTTCTGTCGTAATAGATGGTGTGTCGATTTAATTGCAAAATCAATTAATTTGTCAATAAAAGAAATAAGCCATAAAATTTTAATTAATTATAAATTGAAAGTATTATAGAAGCCAATTGGAGTAATTTCAAACGTATTTAAACTAATCGAACAGTTTTTGAAATCGGGGATTAACCTTGAATATAAACTGAATGAAGGAGGTAATTTCCAAATTAACACGTCTCTTAAGATCTATGACCGGACTAGATGTTTCTACGCAAATGAAACTACAAATTTTGAGAAAATTCATTCCCCCACAATTTTTCAATTCATTCCCTCACAATTCATTCCCTCACAATTCCCTCACAAAGTTGCGTGTTTGTATTAATGAATTTGTTTTTGTGCAGGAAAGCGTACAATCTGTTTTTTAGTAAAGTTGAGAAAATTTTGTATAGTACTGGCTGTAACGTTAAGGGGTCGAAAGTTAGCCGGATCTTTTGGATCTTCTTTTTTATATATTAAGATTGTTAAACCTCGATTGGATTGTTGCGGTTTTCCAACAGCTCGTTATTAATTTATGGAAGTATGGACGTAGAATTGGGCACTTTTTCAGAGCAATTGTTGAAACTTGACCCAGAGGACAGGGCGTTGCTTTGGCCTTACATTTTCGAACAATTCTCTGGTAAAAATGCCGATTTGCACGCCTTCCAAAAATTGTTGTTGAATTGAGTTGTAGTTTGGGCGTTTTTGTTGATTGATTTACCTTTTGGTAATTTTATTCTTTTTCTAAGATTGGATATTTGATTAGTTACTAAGATACTAAGATTACTTAGAATACTAAGATTGGATATTTGATTAGTTAAAAAATTGTTGCAATTATTAGCTTTTAACTTTTAGTTCTTTTTTCAATTTCTTAATCGAGCATTCTGTACTCAAATTTTTTGTCGTTGCATGCGTTTTCATGTATCCATAATTTTTTGCGAAATATGAATAGATTATTTGTTGAAAGGGAAGGGCAAAGTTGTCGACGTTCATGTTGTTGAGGCATTCCAATTCTATGTGAAAGTATACGTTTGCCTCAGTCCATTCCGTACAAGACATTGGTAGTTTGACACCCTGAAGTGGCTTAGGAGTAGCCGTTTGGGTCGGCTTGTGCTCAAAACTCTACCGGTCCGGAGGTGCTGTTGGTTTTTCAACGTCAAAAATTTTGGTTTTGAGAGACCTGCACATTTTGCATGATCTTTGATGCATTAATAATCCTTTTTGCCTTTGCAAGGTTTGCCGCAACAACAAATCAACATATTATTAAAATTATTTGTGAAGTTATTATCAATATTTATTCAATTCGGCGAAAATTTAATGTTTGCAAAGTTGTTTACATTAGTGGTTCTGAAATTCGCGGAACAATCTTTCGTAGTCCGCGCCGGTTTGCGCTGAGTAACCAGAAAATAATGGAAATTTTTTATACTGTATTATAACAAAAAATTAGATGAAAATATTGTCTTTTACTTGTTCAGTTTTTCGTTTCGTAAATTGGAAATTATCAATTTTTATATTAAATTTATTGGTTGCTACAAATTCATAACTAAACTTACTTTTAACAGTAACCATGGTGATAAGACGCTAAGATTCAAATAGAATTAGATCCGTTATTTTTATCCTTGTCTACATTTTTTCTACCGGTAGCTTTTTGAAAAGTTTATTATTACTAACAGTTGCTTTATTCAATATTACATATTGTCAAGAATTCAGTCTTATATATATGTATATATATTTTACAATATTCTATATATTCTACCGAATGTTTGGCGTTAATATGTTTGTAGTTCGCCTTTTCAATTTTTCTCACTAGAGTTTTTTGGTGAACGTTTAGTTTATTAAAATTCAAAATAAACTTATTTTCCGAATTCATGCTGCAAATAAGGCCATATTTCGATTCCGAATGAATCATCATCAGTGCTTTTTGATGTTTATATAGGGAAATATTGACTTTGTCAAAATGAACTTAGATGGAAATTAGGTGTCAGGTTTCTTTATTGGTCTCCTTTTCTTCATCGATAGCATCATATTCTTCTTTGTCACTATTTACAATGCTAGTTTTTATTACTTCTTTGTTTTCATTGTTGGTTAAACGCCGGGTTGGGAGTGAGGTTGTCATTTTTTGTTGTATATTTATTTTTGGTGTATTTATGTCAATTAGGACTGCTTCTGCAATTGTAAGATGCGTGTAGTTGCTGTTCTGGTATATTACTTTGGTGTTGCTGTCGAGGACTTTACGTCTAATAGTGATTGAGTGTGTTGAGTCCAAATGAAATTTGATAGCACCACTCTGTTTATGCATCGTAAGCCTTCTAGTCAGTGAGGTAGTAGAAATCCCGATATATGAGTCATGTTGACGTGCACAGCCGTCAGAGGGGCAATTAAATTCATATATTACGTGATTACGCCTTAACACAGAGTTATCTCTAGGACTACAGTTGTTTTTCAGTATTAGGTGAGACGTCTTTTTATTGTTGTAATAAATTCGGAGTTTAACTTTGCTATTTGGGTTGGTTGGTGTGACATTTTTATTGATGATATGTTTAAGAATAGCTTCATCTACTTTGTATGCAGTTGACATGTGATTTCTGTAATACAAGATGATGTCGTTATCTTGATTGTTGATCTTGATTGTTGGTACTATAAGATGATGTCGTTATCTTGATTGTTGGTACTAGTTATTTTGAATTTTAATAAACTAAACGTTCACCTAAAAACTTTAGTGAGAAAAATTGAAAAAACGAACTACAAACATATTAACGCCAAACATTTGGTAGAATTTATAGAATATTGTAAATGTATTGTATATATATATATATATATAAATTCAACCGATTTATTAGTGTTTATAAACTTGAATTGAATTTTTCAATTTATCTTAGTAAATTTTTATGAATTTCACGATAAAAATTTTCTAAACAAATTGAAAAATTTGAATACCGAGTTATATTATTTAATTTATTTTACCATTTGATGCGTAGAAGTAAGTTTCCGGAGACAGCCTTTGTAGAAATGATTCAGCTGTTTATAGTCGACGTTTCACATGCGTAGAGGGGTGTGGTGAGTGCAACTTTCAAAGTTCATCTTTAATAGTAAGCCTTCCACGTTATCAGACATTTCCACGCAGTTTACCGAATGCAATACTGACTTCGGCCATTCGGTTGATCACTTCCGCATCTTTATTCACCATGCTTGAGAAAGTCTGCCGAGTTAATTGAACTTTTCGACTACTTTGGAATTTTGATCTTTAACAAAAATGTTTGGCTCTTTGTACTTTTGTTAATGTTTATGATGAGACCAAAGTTATTGCAAGCTTGCTCAAAACATTTCATTATGTTTTGCATTTGTTAACCCGTTTATTTATACTTTTCTGACTGCCTGTAATCGTCTGAGAATCATGATCTCGCTGTCAGTTCTATATTTTAGCCGAATTTTATCATTGCATTAACGAAATGTATCTTTGAGCACGACAGAGAAACCATGCGGAAGAGGTTAACAGTAAGAACGCTTTGTTTTTCACCTTGCGTCACTTAGGGGGTATCAGATTCATCTCTACAAAATGATTCAACTTGTCTACACGGCGAATATATATATATATATATATATATATATATATATATATATATATATCAATATCATCAAAAGAAATATATCAAAAAGAGATATATCAAAAGAAATATCAAATGTTTATATATATATATTATATAATATATACTTGAAATTTAATACATAATATATATATATATATATATATATATATATATATATATTATACATAAATTCCTTGCATTTGTTTAAAAACAAAATAAAGAAATATTTATTGAAAAAAAGTACAGTTTTTATTTAATTAGAATCATGTAAATTGTGCATTATGTTAATTTTGTCATGAATTATAAATTTACTTAAAAATTGTGTTAGAATGAACAATTTGGTCTTTTAGTTTTGGTCTCCTAATCATTACCTAATTATTATTGATTTGGATTGATTGAATAAAATTTGATTTTGATTATTTATATATAATATACATTATATTATAAATAATATGTATAAATTTTATTATATTGATGTATATACTGTTTTTCAAGAAAGCAAAATAGCGTCGGCTCAATCAAAAGGTTTTAACGTTGCATGTGCGGAACTTGCTGGACACATTCCGGTTTACGGTAAGATGTAAAGATTCATACATGCATATGCACACACAAACGCGCTTATATTACAAATATTATACGTTTACATATTTATATAATATATGTATGCATACACAGTGGCGGATCTAGGGGGCGTTATGAACGTTATTTGTATTAAGGTTAGTAAAAGTGGTGGTTGGTTGGTGGTTTGTATGGAAAAGTAGTGTTTTTGAAGGAAAGTTTTTCTCCCTCCGTCACAATGTTGCCCCTGCTGAACATTGAATTATATTTTTGTCATCAACTTTTTGTTGAAAATTCAAAATTCTCCCCAACCCCCGATCGTCAAAAATTTTTTTGAAAATTTCCCCTCACTACCAAACGGTCATGGGTTTTTTAAAATAGCTCTTTGTCAATGTTGTACATACATATATATTTATATATTTTCATTTTAATTTATTTGTTTTATATTGTTTTTTTCATATCATGTTTTACAAATTATATATATATATATATATATATAATTTTAGGGGTAGACTAGAGCTTTTCTGTAGTAATAACGTTATCAATAATGTTTTGTCAAAAATGTCAAATATTAAAAGTTTTTTAATTTAACCTTAATAAACTTCATCAAGATGATAATAGTTTCGTTAGAAAAGTTGAGAAACTCAACTACAAGTTGAATAATCCCGATAACGCAGTGATCTTTATAAATAATTGTATATATAATGTGTGTATATATATATATATATATATATATATTTTTGGTAACAGACTATTGTTAACGCAACATTTCAAAAATTCAACACTACTTTCAACATTGAATCAACTTTTTCATATTTCTTTTTAATTTAAAATTAAATTAAATATATATATATATATATATATGTGTGTGTGTGTGTGTGTGTGTGTGTGTGTGTGTACGGTTGAAGATTACACCCCATTTTGCAGTTAGAAGTTTTTTTAAATAAAATTTCAACAACACGAAGCTGTTTTGTTTCAACTTTATTAAACTGTGAAGTTTGGCTGACGGCCGTTTCGGCTAATGCCATCGTCGGAGCCTAGATTGTAAAACCAAATGAAGAGTTAATAATATAAATTATAAGAAATAGAAAATAGAATATTAGATATTAAAATGAATAAATAAATGATAAACAACCTATATTTTAAAATTAACTCATTATATTGTTGAAAATAAAATAAACGAATAAATTTAAAAGAAAAATTATGAATAAAATTGTTTGTGTATTAACGGCCGTCAGCCAAACTTCACTATGCAGTCATCAAAACTAAAACTTCATAAAAAACTGACCAACCTGATAACCAAAGGAAACAACAATATTATGAAGGATAGATTCATCAATCTCAGCCACCACACCCTTACAGACAAGCAAAAAGCGTTCTTAAACTTGGGATTAAATTGCCACTATCTGAACAAACCCAACAAAATTGAGAAAATTATCGAGATGGAAAAACTCATGATATCAATAAACGATGCTTAACATAAATAAACGTAAACTCTTCTATTGCCATTGAACTTCAAGCTGAAGCAAAGAAACAACGTTGGAGCTTCCAAAGCAAGCTACTCATTGATGAAATGAAAAAAGCGACAAAACAACTGATGGAAACTAAAGACATTATAATACGACGCGCAGATAAATCGGCACAATATGTCATTATTGACCGAGCAGATTATTATGAAAAACTCAATGATGTTCTCAAGGATACAAAAAAGTTCCAAGTAATCAAAAAAGATCCCACTCCCCAACTAAAAACTAAACTAAACACAATAATTAAGAAAATAAAAAAGGATATCACCAATGACAAACTTCCATCACTGGCTACTCTCCTGGCTACTTATGTGGAAATATAAAAACGCATAAGAATAGTCATCCCATCCGACCAATTATTAGCCAAATTACAACAGTCACATACCCTGTTGCAAAATTCTTGAACAAAATTTCAACCCCATATATTCCAAACAATTACACACTACAATCTTCCCGTGAGTTTATTAATCTCCTCAGCATTAATAAACCATCCAAATTTATTGCCTCTCTGGATGTTGAATCACTATTCACAAATGTACCAATTCATGATACAATTGACATAATTATCAACACCGTTTACCATTCAGTTATGGTTCCATTAAGCATACCGAAAGCACAACTGAAGTCCCTTCTTCAAATTTGCACTACCGAAGCACCATTCCACAGTTCCACAGACAAACTTTACAAGCAAATCGACGGTGTCGCTATAGGATCCCCCCTAGGCGTCCTATTTGCCAGTTTTTACCTAAGACATCTGGAGAATGAGACCTTCAAAAATAATGCACATTTAAAACCAAATATCTACGCTAGATACGTTTATGATATTTTTGTCTCCTATAACGATCCTGAACAAATCACTCAACTTTTTGGTACCTTACACAAATCAAAATTAAGATTTATCATTGAAATTGAAAAGGAACAATGCTTACCTTTCCTCGATGTGTTGGTCACCCGTGGCGAAGAACGATTCAAAACTGCGGTCTATGTCAAAGAAACAAGTACAGGAATTTGTTTGAATGGACAAAGTGAATGTACCGAACAATTTAAAGACATCACAATAAAATAATTTGTAAACCGGGCATTCACACACTCTTCCGATATTGAAAATCGCGACGCTGATTTAAAAAGAGTCATCAACCTGCTTGTAAACAATGGAATGGAATGGAAGGCTTACTGAAAAACAATTGTGATCTCTGTGTTAAAGCGTAATCACGTAATATATGAATTTAATTGCCTCTTTGACGGCTGTGCACGTCAACATGACTCATATATCGGGATTACTACTACCTCACTGACTAGAAGGCTTACGATGCATAAACAGAGTGCTGCTATCAAATCTCATTTGGACTCAACACACTCAATCACAATAACTTATTCTATTCTATTCTATAATAGACTTATTCTATTGAAAAGATTGTTAAAGGCAAATTACTACACAACAACCTTCCTAATACCAACAATCAAGATAACGACATTATCTTGTATTACAGAAATCACATGTTAACTGCATACAAAGTAGATGAAGCTATTCTTAAATATATCATCAATAAAAATGTCACAACAACCAACTCAAATAGTAAAGTTAAACTCCGAATTTAGTAAAACAATAAAAAGACGTCTCACCTAATACTGAAAAACAACTGTGGTCCTAGAGATAACTCTGTGTTAAAGCGTAATCACGTAATATATGAATTTAATTGCCCCTTTGACGGCTGTGCACGTCAACATGACTCATATATCGGGATTTCTACTACCTCACTGACTAGAAGGCTTACGATGCATAAACAGAGTGGTGCTATCAAATCTCATTTGGACTCAACACACTCAATCACTATAAGCCGTGAAATCCTCGACAGCAACATCAAGGTAATATACCAGAACAGCAACTACACGTATCTTAAAATTGCAAAAGCAGTCCTAATTGACATTAATAAACCAAAAATAAATATACAACAAAAAATGACAACCTCACTCCCAACCCGACGCTTAATCAACAATGAAAACAAAGAAGTAATAAAAACTAGCATTGTAAATAATGACAAAGAAAAATATGATGCTATCGATGAAGAAAAGGAAACGAACGAAGATGGACCAGCCAATAAAGAAATCTGACACCTAATTTCCATCTAAGTTCATTTTGACAAAGTGAATATTTCCCTATATAAACTAAATTGCTAAACTAAATAAATGATTTATTCCGAATCGAAAAATATATATATTCACAATATTTTTACAATATTCTATAAATTCTACAGAATGTTTGGCGTTAATATGTTTGTAGTTCGTTTTTTCAATTTTTCTCACTAAAGTTCTTTGGTGAACGTTTAGTTTAATAAATTCAAAATAAACTTATTTTCCGAATTCATGCTGCAAATAAGGCCATATTTCGATTCCGAATGAATCATCATCAGTGCTTTTTGATGTTTATATAGGGAAATATTGACTTTGTCAAAATGAACATTAAAAAGTGTTTATATTGCAGCGTCCACGTATCAAATAATCGTTTTGTATATTACATTAAAACAAATTCTTCTAGCTTTCTTAGCTGCAAAAAAGTTCTGGGCATGACATAAAACTGCATCCACGCTGCTTTGCGTGCTTTTGAGCAAAAGGCTAGGCCCACCGCTTATAACTGGTGGTTGTCGTCAGGATGAGTTTCTGGATGTAAAAACTTTCCCCAAATTATTCTATGCCATCACAAACCAAAACAATGGCTCCTAGTCCCCAGCAGGCCTTAAGTAGTCAGGGGGTGCTAAGAATCCCTCCTAGAAAGATGCAATAGCGGAAGGATGTTGCAGAAAAATTCAGAATGGCCCCTCTATGGTACTTAAACTTGGAACGCTCAATGTTGGATCACTGACTGGCCGCAGCATGGAAATCGCAGAAATGCTCGAGCGTAGAAGGATTGACATCTGCTGCCTTCAAAAGACCCGATGGAAATCGAATGGTTTCTGTCATATCAACTCAGACAATGAAAAATATAAACTATTTTGGAATGGTCAAAAGACGGCCAAAAATGGTGTTGGAATTTTTGTCAAAGAACCGTTAGCCCAAGAAGTACTGTATATTAAAAGGATTAATTCACGTTTCACGTTGGAGAGAAAACAGATGGTACAGCTAGCAGCAGGCATTATCAGAGTTTCCGCTATTGGCCTGTGCAACTCGAATTGCCACTAAAAATGATGCTTTTAAAGCCTTCTCATTGACTTTAGTTGTTTGTACAATACAAGAATCTGACTATCGCGTGAATATTTTTTGCGCAAAAAATATTCCATTGGTTTCTCCGAGCAGTCAGTATGATTAGGAGTTTCGCAGTTTTCATAGCTGCATTTGTGAACATATTACACGCAGCAGTCTGTATTGATCATTTACTATAACGCATGTAAACCCAATTCACAAATACTTTTCATTATACCGTCGTATGGCAATTCGTCTTTTTTTTCGGAATTGCATTTGATCTACACTCATCGTTGTCCTTATGTTCGGTTGCTTTCTTTATTAGAAATTTATCCAACCTTCCATCAACATCCGACAACGAATCACAACAACACTTCCAACTCAAAGAATTAACAACAGTAAAGTTTATCTCGTCCACCAGCAATCTAGCAATAACGATAATAATAACAACAACGTGCTTCCTGGAAATATGAAATGTCATTGCTTAGTTTGGTCATTTTCCCCATGAACTACATAAATTTTCCCTACTTTTCCAATCTTTGAAACTCCACCAAAAACAAATTTGGAAAAAAGGCCACTGTATTCTGGCGTTCCCTCTCTCTCATAGCTCTTTTTACAAAATAAAAGAAAGGGTTGAACAAAACCGTTAAATGCGTTGTTTTTAGAATCCTTAAAAAACACGCTATTTCAAGCTTGAAAATTTACAAATAAAATAAGATCATCAAAAATTGAAAATTAAAATAGTAAATATTAAACCAAAAATCCAAAATTATTAAAAAAATGTAAATAATATGAGAATTCAATTTTTTGTGTCACAATCGCGATGAACACAAAGCTCTATTCAAAGATTTGAGTGTCTTAGAATTTTGGAAGGAGATTTTTAGATTTGATGCAATTATGTTTGGAAGCATGTAGACGTGTTTAGATATCTGTTAGCTACGCATCGAATGTTCGGCTTGGCCGAATCGAATATTCGAATTTGACATTTGGTCAAATAGAGCAATTTCCGTTTAAGCAATAACTTTTTTGAATTCTAGAACAATAAATTGTCGATTATATTAGCCAAAAATGCCATGGTAAGACATCTGATTTTGAGATTGAATATTATCTCGATAAAGAATTGTTGGATAGATATGAATCGCCTGTTGTTTCAATGACTCGTTCTTTGTTCTAAGAGATTATATTTTTCAAAATTTTTCATAGCTTTTGTACTATTTAGTGCATCTCTAGAATCTGTGCACTGTTATCGTGTGGGCTATTTTTTTGTGCTTCAGTTGTTATAGAATTTACCTAGTCATAGACATTTCGATATTGCAAATAATTTATATCCTAGTAGACTTAGTCAACAAAAGATGTTTATTTATAGACCGTCAGATAGAAAGCATCCAAAAACAATATTCTAGCGTTGATACTTTTGATGTCCGATGGTATTTAAAAATACATGACGATCTTATTTAATGTAACACTTTCTATTTCTGAAAATAACTTTCACAGATTCACATGCTTTTGATACGATTACAGAAGAAGATATAGATGCCACAATTTCAGATGTGTTGCTCAGTAAAGAAGATGTATTGAAAATGATATTTTCAATTTCAAACATTTCAAAATGAATGCTTATATTAAACCAAAAATTGTTTTGTTGTGCTTCCGAGAATTTTTCAAGATTTACTTTAACAACCGCGTAATGCAAATGCGCCAAGCGAGGTTCAAATATTTGACCCAGCCATTAATAAAAAATGGCAATTTTGTGTGAATGAACTCATTCTTATAAATTAGCAAAACACTTCAAAAATTTGTATTAAGTCTGATATCGGATATTTTTCTTCCTATTCCACAAAATAAAGATATTTTAAAAATATACTAATGAAAACAAAATAATTATGAAAATTTTGCGTATAATCATTGTTTAAAACGATGGAGATTCACGACTTAATTATATACTGTGTGGGTGAGGCGAGACAGCGTAATGGTTAATGTGTCTGGCATTGATGATGCTTTCGAGTGTAAAGAGGATGTAGAAATCCACGCCTATAACCTGCAAAAAGTGTGCGATGCGTTGATTCACGGATATTTATACGGTGTGCTAAACTCCGTGAAAAATCCAAGAGAGAATTAATTTTATTTTGGTTTTATTTAGTGACGGCTCGGACGTTGATCGCATTAAATTCAACGGACTACTGTACACATTTTGAAAAAAAACCGACCAAACAAACAATTTTGAATGAATTTTGTTTCAAAAAGAAACAATACGATGTTCAATAAATTAATCGTAATGATGATGATTTTCAGCAACAATCGTCGGCGGTAGTTTCAAAACAAAGTGAACAAAGGAAGTTTTGTCAACAAAAATAATAAAATTAATTTTCTTTCTAATAATGATTAGCAATACCAAAAATGTAAAGAAGCGCAAAGAACATGAAAACAAATTTTAGTTTTTAATTTTTTCCCACCAACACCGGCTCCATAGGCTTGAAAATCTTCAAAATGGAGGTCCAAGCCCTGTCGAATCAGCTTCGCCGGTTCGACTTGAACTTAACACCCACTAATCTGATAGAGAATAAGTTTAGTAAAGATGTAGACTTATTTTTAAGAAAATTATTTTTAAAAATAAAGAATTAGTTTAAAATTAAATTTTAAGTTTAACGGCCATTTGAACTTTGCCTAATTTAAAGACCGTTCGCAAGTATAACGTTTAAAATTTTTTGGTAAAATTTGATACAACGTTCAATATGCTTATTTTAAATTAATTTTTGAATGAGATCGTATTGAGTTTAAACATAATAATCCCATAATAACATATTTTTTTTACCCTATCGGTATTTTCATACTTCTAACAACCGTCAATTGTCAACTATAGTTTCATTTTCAGCTAACTCAAACCAACAGTAAACTCATTAAAGGGTATACCATAATATCATAGTTTCCAGTCTATTCCTATTAATTATTATAGTCAATCTTATAGGAATAATTTCAAACTCATTTAGAATCTCAACCCATCTGCTATTCTCTTTAACTCTAGGCCTACCACTATGGCTACCAATTATCACATCAAGATTTACACACAATAAAAAAAAAATCATCGGTAAATTACTACCCGATGGAGCAACCGACTGATTTCCATTGTTAGTATTAATTAATTGGCTGATACGATCGCGGCCCATATGACGTAATGTCCTAGTCACATAGATTAATATTCAAAGTGAAAAATAATTTAAACGTTTCATTTGTGGGTTGCCAATGATACCCCCTTACGAGATGATCTGAATCCGCCGCTATCGAAATAGCACTGATTTTTGATAGATAGACACAATTGCATCAAACAAGGACTTGTTTAAACGTTTATTTTAATGCCAACAGTAATAGTAACACTGAATCATTTGTTAATCTCAGAAAGACTTTCGATGTCGCACGATCGCAGCTCCATAATCCTACTCCAACCCCTTTACAACTCGTGCTGTGCTTATATGCAGCAACTTTACAATCGCTTGTTACAAAGATATCTGATTTTAACAATTATTAGTAATTTAAACGTAAAATTATAGAATCAAGATGATAATAATCATTTGAAACGAATATTGCAGCATTATAATGTAACAGTGGGTACAACCAATCTAATCAATTTAGACAAGTTGAATGAAAGATAATCTTAAAACGTTTAGGCAGGCAGAAGGCCTATTTACATTTTGGGAACTAGTTAAGAAAGTAAAAAAAGTTTGGCTTTAAAAACAAGAAATATTTCCCATTAGATGAAAAGAAGAAATATGCTGAAAGTTGTGTAAAAAACAAACTAAACAACAGCCGGGAGATTTACGGAACAGAGCGGAATTCAGAACCATAAATGATTCAAGTTAAAAAAATTCATATGATTGCGTTTAGGTACCAACGATAAACAAATTATTACCTTTGATAGCCATGAAATTAACTGAATAGAAAAAAACAACAAAAAACAAGAAAATTAATGTCTAGACAATAAAACAATAACCTTAACATAATTCAAATTAAATGTTAATCATAAAATAAAATAGTGAGGGTTAATAATTACGACGAAGATGGCGATATAGATGAAAAGGATGATGGAAATTGAAAAGACATGTAATGTGAAACGATATAGGATACCACTAGAGCAATCATCAAAAAAATCGTCATAATAGCAATTGCGCAAGTTTTATCGTTAAGCCACTTGACTTGAAAATAACCATCAATGTATGACACACGCAGTGACGACGACGGCAAACATTTTTTAGGCTGCGAGGACGGCGATGCTGATCCTATATTGACCTTTGTATTAAAGGCAGTAGTAGGCGAATATGGTCCGACAACGATTTCACTGTCTTGTGTGAATGATGATACTGGTAGTAACTGGTTTAACTGCCGAGATGATGATTGTTTTCTGATTGCACATACACGAGTCTGATATTCACAATTCGGTGCCAAATCGAAGAGTTCAAAACTACACAACGGACCTTGATATATCTGTTAGGTTAATTTATCACAAACAACTTTGACATTTTTTACTAGCACATATATGTGTTATTTAATAATATACAAAGCCTGGCAATGAATATGCAAACATGTTTCAGTCTAACGTATAACGAACTACCTTTCTGACTGGTTCATGGCTTTTAACTACAAAATGAGCCATTGCAGCTGACAGAAGAAACTAAATAATGTTATTATTTTAACAAAAGCATACAGGTCGATAAATTTATTTGACCATAAGACAAAACAAATGTCAATTAGGGTAACAAATCTCAGCTTATATAATTAGTATTAAAATCAAAATCTGGTTGGGAAACCAAATAAGATCTGAATCTTAACATAAAAATCTTGTTTTTGCCATCGTTGGTAAAATAGAAAATTAAAACAGTTAAAGTTATATCTAGATTGATAAAAATGTGCAACGAATCTATAACTGTTTATTCGCCATGTAAATACATGCTAAAAATAAATTAGCATGTTGTTTTCAACATTTTAAATCATCAAAACGTATTTCATTAGCCGTTCAAATGTAGCTGGGGCATTACATAACTCGAACGGCAGCACTGTGAATTGCCACAGACCATTTTTTTACGAAAAGGCAGTAGTCTCCCGGTCATTCTTTTAAATCTCAGCCTGCCAGTACCCGCTTTTTAGATCCAAAGTCGAAATCCACTGGGAACGGGGCAAAGTATCTGTTATATTGTCAATCCTCGAAGGCGGATAACTTTCAAGGTAGCTGCGTTCAGTTTTTTTTAGTCCACGCAAGCGATTACTACAATCCTTCTTCTTTACTAGGACGACTGGAAATGTCCAAGAACTTGTCGATGCTTTTGCATCGTAGAAATCATCTCATCGGTTTTCGCTCGCTTTGACAGTGGCAGGCGTAGAGGAACTTGTCTGACAGGTTTGCAATAATGAGTCTCTATCCTGTGAGATACAATGCCTGTTCTCCCTTGGTCGTTGTCACTGGTCGAAAATATATCCGAATAATTGGCCTTTGTTCGCTCTTCCTCGGTGAGGGTTGTCTCGTCCAATGGTTGCGTTTGATACTGGACGTCCTAACAATTCCTTTCTTCAATACCCTCCATAGTTCATTGACAAGTGCGAAATTATTGAAAAGATCAAAAAAGTAATACAAATGCAATGTAAGAAAACATCAAAGAAATTACTGGAAAAAGGGCTTGTACCGTTTCTGGATGTATAAAAGCTAAATCCGGTAAAGTAATCTCAGAGAAAGAAAAAGTGCTTGAAAGATGGACTTTTCGATGATATCCGTGGTGAAAAGCCTCTTATTAAAAAAGAGAAAGACGTATAAGGACCAAAGAAACTTAGATCTGAAGTTAGTGCCGCTCTTTCAAAAATGAAATTAAATAAAGCACCAGGTCCAGGTGTTGAAGAAAATAAATACCTTGATGAATTTGGCATTTATTACATTGCCTAAAATACCTACACTAAAATCAGAATATCAACAAAATTGAAACCGTTAGAGTGCTACATTTTTACCGTGTTTACATACGACTCTGGGGGTCCTGGACAATTTCTAAAGAAATTTAAAAAAGGTTAATGCTGCTGAGATGTGGTTTTTAAGAAGAATTATGAAAATTAATCGAACCTTCCATACCTCCAATGAGAATGTATTAAAAGAGTCCGGTCATAAAAAGAGGAAATTACTACAAATAATCCGATGGGGGTAGTTAAAGTTTTTTGGTCACATCATGAGGAAGGAAAGAATTGAAAATCTAACAACTACTGGAAAGATTGCAGGGAGAAAAGATCGCGGTCAACAACAAATTCATTAAGTCCTTGTGTCACCTGTTGAATATCACCACATTTCACATTTCTCTGTCCTTTCACCCTAAGGTCATTTCGGTGACGATGAAGCCTCGAGACATGAATAATACTGCTGGGAGCGTTTGTTTTTTCAGCCAACTTAGGCCCCACAAAGTTGGCTTTCAATCGTTTTCCGACGTCTTCGAAAGTTGGTTTTTCCGCGTCGTTTCCTAGATAGGCATTATTTCTCTGGGGCCTTTTACAATATTTCCTAATATGCCCCTTTTCACAGTTCTAGCATTCTGGTGGCTTGTAGTCTGCTGTTGTCGGGACAACCCTTAGGCAACCACTCTCTTCTTGAATTTGCCTTATTCTTGTATCCCTCTTCAAAATCAACTTAGCTGATTCCAACGTCATTTCTTGCTCCAGAATTCCTATGAGTGTTTTTATCTTCGAGATTGTGAAGTCATTTCTTATATCTGGGTTTCGTAGGGCTTGAATGAATGCTTTTGTTGCCGTTCTGTTTCTGAATTTCGGGGTAACTGTTGGGTGCGCCAGCAGGGTCAGCCTCTTTGTCTTGCGCTCGTTGAGCAGTTTCTCCTGGTTTCTGCATACGATGGTCGAGCTGTGTCAAGTAATCTTTTGAGTATTTGTTTCCATAGTGTCAATTAAGCGCTCGGTTAGGATCCCAAAGCTGTCACGATCCTTGGACAGAATCGATTGTAACACCTCCAACGCGGAACCTCTTAGTGCTATCACTAATGCCGTCGCATGTTCTCTCGCCTTGCATACATAGCTGAGTGCTGCTACTTCGAATTGAGTCTGGCAGCTCTGGTATGGTACCGTCAAATGTTGGTGCTTGGCGAGAGCGAAACCGTATTTCTTTCTTTTGCTTTTATTTCCTAAAAAATTTCCTCAATTTCTCGTTAGTGCTTTTGTTCTAGGTAGTCGTTTCGTTACCTTCGTTTATCAGAGCGCCTCTTAGGTGGTTTATTAAAACTGCCTTTGCTCCTTATCAGTTGAGGTTTCGTTGTCGTAGTTCTTTCCTCAGATTAATTGCATCGAGTTCTTTTAGTACTGGCATTCTATATTGCAGAAAGTTTTTATCTATTCAATGTTAAAAATATATTATATATATTACATTACACCATATATATTACACATTTTCAAATCATAAATTACGACAATTCAATTTCGAAATTTCGATATATATAAAGATTTGGGCGTTCCAATGAGCGATGTACCAATGACGAAATCCGATAGATGTTAATTACCCCTTGGCAGCCCATATGCTAATTATTCTTAAGCAGAAACATGCTAATTACTTTTTAGCAAACATATGCTAATTACCCCTTACAACTATTACCCCTTTCTATAACACAAAGCCTATATTTCTATGCTGTATTTCTATATATATATATATATATATATATATATAATATATGCATCACACGTCTTAAACATCATTGGTCGAATGATATAGCCCTCAGCAAAAGTTTCAAAAATAAGTGTTAAAATGTCTCTAAATTATTTTTTAGTTTTCAATGTTTCCAATAGTTCGAAATAGCAATGTTTTTGAAGCCATTAAGGTAGAGAAAGTCACATCGTTTCAATATCTAGGGGATGTTCTAGATTGTACTGGAACAGCTGAAGCTGCCGTTCGAGCACGCATACGTGCAGCCTGGAATAAATGGCATCTCCTTGCCTCTATATTGATGCGGCGTGACATCCCACTACCACTACGATCAAGACTTTATAAATCTGCGATACGTCCGGTGTTGTTATATGGTGCAGAAACAAGGCCAATGACAACCAAACTGGAACAACAACTTCAACGAACCGACATGAAAATGCTCCGATGGATGCAACGAATTAGTCTAAAGGACCACATCAAATCTACCGAAATCCTGAGTCGTGCTGGTTTAGATTACATAAAGGACGAATGCCGGCAACACCGTCTGCGGTGGTTTGGTCATGTCAAACGAAATGGAAACAGTGCCATAATTTCTCTTGCAGATGTACCTGGCACACGTCCCAGAGGCCGTCCAAAGAAGTCCTGGTCGCAAACAATCGAGCAAGACATGAAAGCTCTAAATTTAAATGAAATGGATACAACTGATCGTCTAATTTGGCTTAAAAAGTTGATGGCAAAAAAAAACAGCGTCCTACCTCGGAGAACTCTCCTGCCCCATTGTTTTTCTCATGTAATTTTGGTGATTTTGAGTTTGCTGAAACTTCGTTCTCCAAATGACACTGTGACAGGCAATGTGAGAAACATTCTCAATGCAGTAGTGATGTTAGGGTAGTTTTTTTTAAATTTATTTTTATAAATGAGAATAACTTTTCTTTTGATGTGGCTTTTTTCAAACTTTTGTCAACTTTCAAAGCGTGATGCTTAAAACTTTATATTTCAAAGTTTAATTCTCCAATGTTGAGATCAGCTGAGTATATGTTTGCCAATTCTTCTGCTTTAATTTTTAGTTCTGCTATTCGCATTTCTTTCAATTTTAACACCACTTAAAAATCCAAACATGGCGCAAAAATTGATGGCAAAGAAAACAACGTCCTATCTCGGGAAACTGGGTCTCTGGGCGGTAAACGAAGATTGATTGATTGATTTCAATGTCCTAAATTTTATTGGAGACAGAAACCACTAAGTAAACCAAGAACCATGAAAATCCGAAATACGGTTTAACCGTTTTTTATTTTATCGCTGACTAACTAACAGGTCTATTTTATACATACACATACGCACGCACGCTCACACATATAACAAATATTTGGCCAGCTATCTCAGTCTCTCACCAAAATTTTGATAATTTCTAACTACCTGTTGGAATGATGAGTCGGAGGGTCGTAGCAATTGCAGATTGTACTGAATATCATCTTGGCAACCAGTAATTTTAATAGATGGCCACATGATCTTGCAAGTAGTTGTACTGATGTTAGCTATATGAGGAGCTGTTTAACGATAAAATGTCAAATGGTTAAAATTGACTAGGATTTATTGTTCCGATTATTCGAAATCGTCAAGTCTAGGGAAAAACATAAACATTCCTCTACGATACCATGAGACACGACGAGGTAAAATTATGTATATTAAAAGTCGAAATCGTTTTAAATTTTTTAAAATGGCTTGAAAAAATTGTAAGGCATTAAAAGCATAACTATTTATCGAAAATGTCTGACAATTGATTTATAACCTTTAACAGGGGGCGGTGGTGACTTGCTGGTGGTAATGATTATCGGATCAGAAATTGGGCCGGCTCCAGCATCATTGAACGCTTGAATTCGAAAGTGGTATTCTGTCAATTCATTCAATTTGTTGACTTTGAAGGAATGGTTTGTGCCTTCATAAATTTGACCGTAGCTAAAATAAATTTAGTGAAAACGTCAAGCAGAATATATATGCAATTAATTTTTTAAAAATATGAATAAATAATTTGTTAAAAGTCGAAATCGTTTCAAATTGTTTAAATTTGTTCACATTTTTATATTTAAATTTATTTAAATGAAAATTATCAACACTTTTCAAAAAGCTTATAAAAAATGTCTTCATATCACGATAACAAATTAAATGAAATTAGAGACATGTAAAGCGAATAATTTGATAATTTATTAAAATAGAAAAGTTAGAAAAACAAATATGATAAAAATTTTAAAGGTTGTAAAACCATTTTATTAAAAATTACAATAAAGAAACAAAAAAATAAAGGTTGTTTTCAAATGTTAATAAAAATAACTAATATTATAACTATAAATCAAGTCAAAAAACACAACAAAATACTTTTCTCCATTTTCAGCAATCTCCAAAATATATTTTGTGTGGTCATTGTTTTTACCATCACCCCATTTCAACTTAACAAATTTAGCCGAACAACTGACCATCTCAAGCTTTGGAGAAAGAGGAGGAAGTGAAATTGTTGAGAATTTGATGACTGACCCATATGGACTGCAGCCTACGTTATTTATTGCCTGAATGCGAGCTCTAACATTATAAATTAAAAAAAATTGTAAATAATAATCTTTAATAACCAGTATTAAAATAAATGATAAGAAATCAACTTGTATAAGGTATCCGGAGTCAACTCATTGATAGTTACAGTGCATAAGTCTTCCTCAATGGAAATTATCTTGAAGCCAACCAAATCTAAATTGTAGGATAGGATTGAACTGCCGTTGCTCCGAGGCCGTTTCCATGATAACGTGCAGCTAGTTGCTTTTACCTGATCAACTTTTAAAGATATAACAGAAGACGGACACCCTGGTAACGTTTGACATGTTGATGACAGACTTGGAAAACTTGATCCGACGTTATTTAAAGCCTATTTAAATATTTAAAAATTAGTTGAATACAAGAATTAGTTTCACACTTTTATTCTGAAAATAAAAACCCCATAGTATAATATACAACAAACAACTAAACGACATCGCACTCACACACACACACACACGCACTCACACACACACACACAAACACATACACACACCCAAAAACACTTAATTAATTTAATTATTAACTAATTAATATGACTGGGCAAAAGTCAGATTAAAAAACTTTGAGGTTATTTTATTGAAATTAAAAGAATAAAATAATTTGTTTATGAAAGAAAATGCAAATTTAAACTTCTTCAAACAAAAAAAGTATTTTTTTAAATATAAACATTCAAAATGTAGTTTTGTTTAAATTTTATCCGGACATGCATTTAAACATTTGAGAGCTTGAACGTAAATATACAAATTGCAAAATGACCTCTTATGCCAATTTTAACCAGCTTCTAATGCACCTAGCAATTTAGTTTACAATTTAATTTCATTAGATAGTAATAAATTAGATAATGTTAATAAATAATGTACATGTAAAAAAATTGAAATTAACAAAAGTAACAAATTTTATAATTATTTTCAGTTACTAAAAAAAACATAGAATATAAATATTAATCTAAGAAATTTTTTTATCAAGAAACGATCAATATTTTAATATTAATATTCAATCAATTTTGTCTTGTATAAAAATCTTCTTTTTAAATTTAGAAATTTAATCTTTATAGTCTTGAACTCAAAACAAAATGCAAAAATAAAAAAAATAAAATAAATTGATATTTTGTACAGAGTAATTGCAGAGTAATCAACAAATAGAAAAATTATTTTATTTTTTGAAGTTCAATAAAAAAGATCTTTAACAGTTTTTTAATTTTTACCAAGTCAATTAATTAATTAATCAACAAATTAATTAAAGCCAAAATATAATTTAAGTAAAAATAATTTTTTTAATTTAATGTTTAAGTTGTAATGTTTATTTCTAATATTGGCTTAGATTTGGTTTGGCTCCGTCTGGAAGTTTGGAAGATCTGGAAGATCATCAGCTCAGATTAGCAATCGCTTTTAAATTTTCATGTTAAAACTGATGACCGCTGTAGTTCATTAGTCGATTGTTTTTTTACTGGCAGCAGATGGTGCTGAAGTAATTAACCGGAATTAAGCAAATGTTTTTTTAATTGCCTATATATTTTTAAAATATCAGCTGTTTGATTTGGTTCTTCAATTATATATTGAAACTAAACACTCACACTTTCTATAGAATACTTTTAAAGTAATTTCAAAAGTGATGTCAAACCGTTTTTTAATAACATTTTTGAAAAATGCTAGAATCTATGAGGTGTTTATGAATATAAAAATGTTAAATCTGAGTAAAACAAATTAAAGCTACAATTGTCATGTTAAAATAACAATAAATTACTGAAAAGACAAGACGATAAACAATTAAAAGATGAAGAAAGACAAAATTATAAATATAAGTAATAAACACAACAATAATTACTTCATGTAAACCAACTTACCACAACTTTAAAAGTATATCTTGATGCAGGAATAAGTTTGTTGATTTCACAGCATAACAACGGCCCATTGTACAACTATAATTTAGAAAAGTTTTTACTTGAAAATAAATGTCTGAACGTTCATAGACTGACAACAAAAACTGGCTAATTTAAAAAATAAATGCCCGGCTAAAATTTCGTTCAACGTCAAACAACCAAATAAAAAAAGCCAAAAACAAACCATAACAAAATCTTCATCAGTTTCTGCACTAATTTTACTTAACACTTCTGTATGTATTCCGAGATCCTCCATTTTACCGTTTGATTCCTCCTTAATTAGTTTGCCAAAAAGACGATATTCCGTTATTTCGGCCCCGTTGTTATTTGGTGCCGTCCAATTAAGCGTACAAGAATAAGGAGAGCGACAGGTAACAACCGGCGGAGAAGGAGGATCAGGCGACGAACAGCCAGTTGTCACTCTAAGTGGGTCAGACCATTCACTCCACTGAATAAAAAAAATTATATTTTATAATTGTAAACGGACAAGACAACGTAAAAATAAATATTATTCTTAAAGAGTCATTGTAGAGGTGTAAATACGAATAAAATGTAACACTTGAAAAAGTCGACAAGATGATAAAATGAATTAAATGATTCTAACAGAAAGTATAAACGATGAAAATAACGTAGCGAAATACATTGAAATAATATGCGGTGAATGATTTCAGGCCTTAGTCCTAGCATAAATCTAATGAACGTAATGAAAAAAAAATCCTATCAGTATGTGAATTATGTTCTAAATATCGAGCTTAGTTTTTGGTCTTCTTGCATGTTTCAGTTTTTGAATCTGAGGCAAGGCAAAAGAGGATCATTGGCACCTTAAAATTAGTTGCTCATTTCCCAATTTTCTAAAATATGGCAAACTTGTTACAAGCCTACAATAAGTCAAAGAACATTGAAAAACCATGTCCGGTAACTTAAATTCAAAACTTTGCGGATTGTAAACCTAAGACCACGATCGATTTAAATATACATCTTTAAAGATTATGACCATTCATTAAAACAAAAATGGCTAGAGCAGTCTGTGAAAATGAAATCAACAAGAACAATTTTTATAAATGTTAACAAAAATGCCAACAAAAGTAGGACAAGCAATTTTATTTCTAACCCCAGCCTTGTTATATGACTTTACAAAGACTTCATGCAGTCTTCCTGCAGCAAGACCCGCAATTGTACAATATGTATCTGCACCTCTATAAACATCCTGACTTCTACTTTCTTCGTTATCATTAACAACCTCACCTCTATCAACCATCTTTATCATTACTACGTACTCAGCTACTGCCGCTCCACCATCGTTATCTGGGGGGTCTAGTGCGGGTTAATGTTATTAATTTATAAAGAAGAGCACAAATTGCAACAATATTTATTAGTAAATATAATTTAAAAAATGTATTATATTATATATATATATATATATATATATATATATATATATATATATATATATATATATATATGCCGATAGATGACCGAATTCCTGACAATATGTTGCCCAAAAAAGTCCTGGACGCAGACCATACAGGAGGACTTGAAGACACAGACGCAATGGATAGATCGGCTTGGAGACAGAAACTAATGAATGGAAAAAAAAGTCCAACCCATAACGGATGGGGACTATAAACGAAAATTGATTGACTGATGTGATAAATTTCACCGATTATTAGTGTTTATCAACTAATATTCCAATTTTTCAATTTGTCTTAGTCGAAATTTCTATCAACAAAATTAAATCTGTTTAAAATCGAAACTTTATTTTTATTAACAAACATTTTATTAAAATTATTGCAGATAGATCTATTTCGACGATAAACGTCATCATCAGTGAATTATTACAAATAAATTCAAAAAAGGAACATGAAATTCTAATGAAAAATTTTAACAACAAAAATAGCTACAAATTCTTTTAAGTTTTTAATTTTAATGAAAAATTTTAACAATACAGAGACTATACACCAAAGTTTTCAGAAAACATGACATTGAACTAAAGGTCAAGCTAAGAACCTACAGTGCTATAGTGGTCCCGGTTTTGATATATGCGGCTGAGTCATGGGAATTAACGAGAACCATGAGAAAAAATTGGATGCCTGCGAGAACATGAGGGTCAGAAGAATAATGCGAGTTACCTTCAAGGATCATGTCACAAATGAGGAAATCAGGAAAAGAACAGGACAAATGAATATTAGCGATGTTATTAAGAAAAGGAAATTGATGAGAATGGAGGAGTTCAGAACACCAAAAAAAATTCTAGAAGTATCAACCAAAAGGGAAAGGATTATCTAAAACGAGATGGAACGAGTTGAAATTTAGAAAGAGCTGGGTTATCATTACACAGGATAACTACTGGAAGAACTAGAGTAAGACTAGAAATGATTGCGAAAGACAGTCATTTTGGCCTCTTTGGCTGGAGACAACCGACAAAGGAAATAAAATAAATAAATAAACAAATTAGCAAATAAATTTATATATAAATAAATAAATATATATATATATATATATATTATATATATATATATAATTATATACTACTGGCCTAACGTGGGTAATGGTTTACCAATAACATATATATATATATTCGTGTGTGTGTGTAAAAGTAGCGAGGTTAACAGTCGGAAGTTTGAGTAGTTGGATTATCGAATTGAGCTGCTGTATTGGCGATCATTCGTCATCTAACGCATTCTTTGATTTGCGAATAATTTATTGGTTTTATTGCTGTTGGCATTCAAATAAACTAATAAACAAGTCTCTGTTTGAAGCAGTTGTGCTTATCTATCAGAAATCTTGAATCTACTGTATATTGACAACATGACGATAGTTCAAGATACAAGAATGTATATGAAAAAATAATAAAACATAAGTCTACAGAAGTAGAGTATTCAAATATACAATAAATCTTATAATCAAACACCTTACATAAAAATCAAAGAACATAAATTAAATATACAAAAATACAAAACTACTTGAAATAACAACGAGCCAAAATCTCCAACATATACATCTATGTAAAAAATGCTAAAACCAGATGGACTGGTCATGTGAAAACGCCTGACAGATGGTTGACAGTTGACGCCAGAACTATTAAGAAATGTAGCAAAAAACTATCCAACGCTAGAAATTCGATAGATTTCATAAATTACTGTATTAATTGTGGTCTTATATATATATCTAATTCCGATTAATTTTAAGAATAAATGGATTAAATTTGACCAAGACTAATAGTCATTTATTATTTACATAAACCTTTTTTCAACCATTTGGAAGCAGTGTTTTAGAGAAGTGCATAGGACATCGATAAACCTCAAGCCGACCATTGGTTTAAATGTTTACAAAGTAAAACAGCTGTTCATGTGTTTCTTAAAACTAAAATAAAGTAACATTTTAATTGAAACATACTAACTAGTGAAACTAACCCCAAGTTATACTGAAATGGGAGGGTTTTGGCTTCCCACCGCATAGCTTAGGTTGTTTGCAGGGAGATGGTGGAACAGCTTGTGTGGTTACTGTTAACATATCTGAATACTTGAAAAATAAGTGATATATAAATAAAAAATAAATTTTTCAAATTAGATTGGAAATCTGGAATGGAATACTGAATGATATTGCTCGAATGTGGTTAATGAATGAAAGTATTTTTTATCGATATTATTAACTTTTTTTTTATTTAATGTGAAAATGACATAATTTAATTTAGGTAATTTCCATCTATTTCCTTAGGAACAATAAAAATAAGCGATAAATAAATAAAAACGAGAAGTGACATAAGTTGCATCGGCCTCAGATTCATTTTTTGGCATTGTTGATTGCCATTAGCACATAATAGCATTATAAAATAAATAAACAAATTTATATTAGAAATAAAATAATTATTTCAAACTGGGTCTTCATTTTTTTGTCATTGTTGATTGCTATTGGGACATAATATCATTATCAAATAAATAAATTTTTTTTAGAAATAAAATAATTATTTCAAACAACTGGTCTTTATAATTAGCATTTTAACTCGTTAGCGCCTAGTCTTCACCACTTTGCTGTAATTTGAGAAAAAATTATTGGTATATTCGAATATTAAACATTTGGAACGGTATGAAAAAGGATGTTGTCAATGCCAGTAAATTTCATTGTTAGAAAATGGATTTTAAAAATATTGGATAATGCCTTAAAATGAATGTGGGTTTTTAATTTGATTGGAAATCTGGTATCGCTTTATGATATTGCTCGAATGTGGTTAATGAATGAAAGTATTTTTTATGGATAATAATAACTTATTTTCTTTTTTTGATTTAATGTGAAAATGATATAATTTAATTAAGATAATTTCCATCGATGTGGGCTTAGGAATAATACTGTTTTGCTCATTTTTTATTCTTGATAATAACTTGATGCAATGCTGAACTTATGGCATACGGTAACAAGACGGTAGTTTGTGCATTTTAGGTCATCTCCTACACCTATTTTGTTTGCTGTAGCCAACAACTCTTGTAAGTAGTGAGACGGTCTACCGGTCATTTTGCTGTCCCTAATCAGGCAGGCAAACAGTTCTGGATCCGATCGCTCGTGGGTTGAAACCTTGTTTATTCAAGTCTTCATAACTCTTATCTTCAAATAATCTTGACTGCAGTTTTTGTTACTAAATCTGGTGGTAGCGCAAACTAAATGTGATAAAATGAAGAAGTTACTTTCGCAGATGAAACTGTGCCCTGGCGATCACAAACAACCCCATCAATACCGTTTCCATAAAAACTAGAAGTTTATTGTAAATGTGTTGACATTTGATTTGGCCGTGTTGTTGAAAATTCAGCGTCAAAGTTGTATGTTGTAATTGTAGGTTTTCATTTATTTGGTCGTTCGGCCGTCAAAGGTCACCAATATAAACTTTTAATATTTAGCATTCCCAAGATTACAAAAATGTTCCCATACGTTTGGGAATTATGCTTGCCATCTCGCTATCAGGTTATAAAAATCTAGATAATCAAAGTAGAAAAACACTTTTATTCAAAACCATGCGTGACATTAGATTTTGTTTGGAATCCAAGACATGAAAAATTAAAAGTGAAAACAAAGAAAATTCAAATTCAACACAAACACACACAAACACACCAAACACACAAACAAACACGCACATACACAAGCGCACACACATACAGTGTAAGAAAATTGTTTTATCTCTTAAGCAAATTTTTTAATGTGATGAAAAAAATGAAACAATGTAAATTTTATTGCAATTAACCTCGCTGACTCCTCCATTGCCAGCTGCTTGAATTTTAACCTTGTAGGTACAACCTGGGGTCAAATTCTCAACACATACCTCTTTGTCTTGGACTGTAGAATATTCTTCGTATGCTGTTCAACGGCAATCAAATTAATAACAAATGTGTTATTATTAAATAACCTTTATCATCAAATCAACTTAATTAAGTCACTAAAAACACCAAAATCTAAATCAGCTATTTTAAACCTTGATTTTTCAACAGATGGACTATGTAATGACTGATAGATATACCTCCCAAATCTCTTGGCTCATCTGAAAAAGTTATAAAATAAAATTAAATTTAACAGCTGAATATTCAAAAGTGCACTGTACTGTTAAAGACTAGATGGTTTTGCTGGTTTTTCTTTCGCACTATGTACTGGTTTGCATGCATATGCTGTTTGTTGTATTATTATATGTAGAGAATATTAATTTCAAAAACCGATTAGAAGTGTATTGAATAAATAAAACTAAAAATTATATATTTATAAATTTAAGAATTTTATTTGGTTATTATATACTATATCGGGGTTGCATAAATCCATAATCATTTAATTCTCCCTGTAATTATTTGGGCGGCGTGATGGCTCAATGGTTAAAGGCGCTTGGTCTTGCTATTGCAATGACTGGGTTCGAATACAAAGAGATCCCCGCCAATCATATGCAATGTGTTTGTATTCATATACGCTGTGTGTGTTTGTTGTTGAAACCTCTGAAGCAAACGCAAAAGAGAGAGTAACCTTTAACCTTTTATAACACTTTTAGTCAATTATATATCCTACTATTTAAAATATTAGTTATCGTCTGTTAAAATCACCTGTCAATTAATTAATTTATTAAAACTTCATTAATTTGTTTTAATTAATTACTAAATATATTATATTTACATTTATATTAAATATATTTAATTTAATTTACATAATTTTTTTCAAACTTGATGAATTATTTCGGTAACTATATTTTTTTCATTTTGTCTTTTACTTTACATTAATTATAACAAAGTTTAAACTATATTTTTAGTTTGTTCACTTATTTCTTTTCTGCATATGTTTTGTTCTACGTAATGTTAATGTTTATTCTACGTAATGTTAATGTTTTTTTCTTTTTTCGAATTCTTTTTCTTTTTTAATTATTTCGTCCAGTGTTTCACTTAATTTTATTTAGTTATATTTTACCATTTATCTCTTAATTTATTTATTACTCTCCTGGCCATATAGTTGGCTCATGTCGGTTTTAAAATAACCACGAATTTAAATAACAAAATTTGATTTATCATTAAGCAAAACACAAGTAAACAAAATCCTCCCAACCATAATTTGCTTATATAAACATAAATAATTTGCCAATTAAATTTTTAATAAATAAATAAATAATATATAAAAAAATTTATCTAAAAGAAATTGGATGTCCTCGCCTTTAGTGAAAGCAGGCATTATTTTTCTGACGACGTATGCTTATTCAATCGACGCCGGAGGGATACGCCTGTTTCGACCAAGCCCGTGATGAAATAAAAAAAAATAAAACCAGATTTTTCATTCCGATTAGTGGTGATGGAGTATTATTACAAAATAATTATAGGTCAACGCATCTGGACCTCAAATTTCAACTTTAAACGTTTAAGCATTTGTGTGTTTCGACATTTCCAAGTCACTCCATTAACAGAGTGGTGATAGCAATATACAGGCCCGGAATATCTTCATTAACGAATAATTATTTTTTAGAGTTTCGTAAAATTGTTAAACTCCTCACGGTTAAAGAAACAAGTGGTCATCCTTCGTGAGCATGCATATGACGTGGAACTTGTCTAGATTTATAGAATATAAAAAATAAATAAAACAGCAAGTACCAGATTATATATAAATGTTGAAATGACAAAAGTAAACAATTCTTCCGCTTCTGAAGTCAACTCACAAGAGGCGCTGTACAAATTCTGCAATACAATTGATAAAGAAAGACATGCAGATGACAATAAATGACAAATAATTGAAATAAGTATGACATTTCGCGTGTGTAGGCGGTAATTTATCATAAAATGAATCGCAGGATGAAAATAAGCAGATGGGAATGCTAGAGATAAAAACGGCAGAAAAGATTATGATCATATGGAATTCAAAACAACTGAAAAAACTAAAACAAGTCTATAATTCAGTTACAACACATAGTTCTGGAACTTTGACATTAAGTAAAAATAAAAACAAAAATAACTATTACAAAAATGCTTTGTCTTTGAATAGTTGGGATCAGTAGAAGAGAAGAAGAGAACGAATGAGGAACGAAAACATCAGAAAAAGATGTAAAATACAATAATAAACAAAATTAGGAGGAGAAGATCGAGATGGTGAGAACAAGTAGAAGGAACCGATGGATCTAAACAGATTACCAACAATGGCTTTGTATACAGAAGTCAAAGGAATATGAACTGTTGATAGGCAAAAAAAATGTAGTAACGATTATTTTCAACAAGAAAGATGCTTTGGAAAAAATTGATTCCACTTTTCTTTATAAAATTTATTACAAAAACGAGCTTGTAAGGTCAATCATTCAGTAGAAATTAAGTTATACATGAATAATAAAATAAACAAAATTAATGCTTACCGAATAGTATAGGCTTGTTGAATAGCATTGTCGTCGGAAAATTTTAATCGACGCATTTATTGTAAATATTTCAAATTTATTAGTTAAAGCATTTTAGTTAAAAAACATAAACCTTCAGATTTCAAGTTTCTTTACAAAATTTTACTATAGATACAAGTTTATAAAATCAAGTATTTAATTAACTAATTAATTAATTTGATTATTAAATTTAGTTTAATTAACGACCATCGAATTGGCTACGTTTGATGGATAGATTATCTCAAATACACCTACCCTAAAAATTTCAGCTGTCGGAAGTAGAGAAAATTTTTTTAATAGATTTTCATATGACAAGACGACAAAAAACAAGCATATAAAAAGAAGGGGAAAATAAACTCAAATTATTTTTGTAAAAAAGCAACACAATCAAGCAGAAAATTTTACATATATTGTACCACTTGTTTTGTTTAACTAATTAATGTTTAACTAATTAATTTAATTTAACGAATTTTTGTCAGAGAAACGCTAGCACAAGAAGTACTGGATATTAAAAGGATTAATTCACGTCTCATGTGGATCAAGCTTCGCATAGAAAAGCAAACAATGATTATTTTTTCTGCATATGCACCACAGACAGGCGAATCAGAAAAGATGAAAAATGAATTCTGGGCTGCATTCTCTGACACCATCTCAACAATACCAAAATCTGAAACAATCCTGATTGGAGGCGATCTCAATGGAAACGTTGGAGAGAAAACAAATGGTTTTGACAACGTACATGGCGGTTTTGGCTATGGAAAACGGAATGAAGATGGCAACCGCATCCTTGAGTTTGCTGAAAGTCACGGGTTTTGTTACTGAATACATATTTTAGAAAGAGGTTGGAACATCTCATAACATACAAAAGTGGTAATCAGCCACGCAAATTGATTTCTTCGTTGTCAAGCAACAACACCGAAGGCTATTCAAAAACGTCAAAGTTATACCTGGCGAATCATGTGTCGCCCAACACTACTTGTGGCAGACCTGGTTGTCGAACTGTCAAAACATAAGTCTAAACAAATACCTCGGAGAATCAAAACGTGAAAGCTGAAAAGCAATATTCATCGAGAAAAATTTCAACAGGTTGTCGCCACACAGTTAGACCACCAATCGCAAGCCAGTACAGATTGGAGTACATACAAAACCAGTGTACAAAATGCAATAGCTGAAAAGCCTGTTGATGACCATAAAATTTTCCGTGAGAAGAACAACTATGCAAGACGTCAAGTTGCACTGGCTTGGACAGATCAGTGCAGAGAGTGGCTCACTAAAAGCAAAGGTGACAAATGAAATCTCTGTATCGTATAGCAAAACAAGCAAAGCGTACGAAAAAAGACATAGTTGGTGCCTCATGTATTAAAAATCACAAAAATGAGATGGTTCTTGAACAAGATGAGATCAAGTTACAGTGGAGAGAATACTTCAACCGTCTGTTAAACGAAACAAATCCCATCAATGTTAACTTTGACGCTCCACCCATCGAAGGTCCGATTTCAGATATCACTGTAGAGGAGCTTACAGAAGCTCTAAAAGCTATGAAGAATGGAAAGGCAGGAGGGCCCTCTGGACTCACAAATGACACTATCAAAGCATCTGGTACTGCAAGTATCCAAACGTTACTACAACTTTGCCGTGAAATCTGCAGAAATCGCTCAATGCCGATTGAATGGAACTATAGCATGACAGTCCCGCTATACAAAGGCAAAAATGATCCATTAAACTGTTCAACATATCGGGGTATACGTCTGTTAGAACACTCCCTGAAAATTGTCGAGAAAATCATTGAGAGAAGATTAACGTCGTGCATCACAATCGGAAATTATCAATTTGGTTTCCTAGTGGGGAAATCAACAATTGATGCAATTCACATCCTTCGGCAACAACAAGAGAAGTACCTCGCAAAGCATCAACAACTATCACACATTTTTGTAGACCTTGAAAAAGCATTTGATCGAGTTCCCCGTGAAGCAATCAGGTGGAGTCTACGTCGACAACTCATTCCAGAATATCTTGTTCGACTTGTGATGGAAATGTATACGAATACTAAGACTCTTGTCAGCACAACAGTTAGAAACGCAGATGCATTTGACATCGGCGTTGGAGTTCATCAAGGCTCGATTATCAGTTCACTGTTATTTATAACTGTGATGGAAGAAATCACAAAACCGATACGCACTGGTGACATTTGGAATCTAATATATGCTGATGATATCGTTTTAACAGCCACGTCTGAGCAGAATGCAGCACAGATGTTTGAAGATTGGAACACCAGACTCGCCGATCATGGATTCAAAGTCAACATCAGCAAAAAAAGAAATGAACACTGGTGAACTCATCTAATCCACAGCTACTGGACAATGGTCCTGTTCAGTTTGTAAAGCTGGTGTAGGCAACAATTCAATCGAGTGTCAGCAGTGTAACTAGTGGTATCACAAACGTTGTTCAAAAATAATTGGAACTTTATCCAAAGTGTCTGATTTTGTTTGTTCTGCTTGCATCAATCCACAACAACAAATACGAACTAGCAATGTTTTTGAAGCCATTAAGGTAGAGAAAGTCACATCGTTTCAATATCTAAAAGATGTTCTGGATTGTACTGGAACAGTTGAAGCTGCCGTTCGAGCACGTATACGTGCAGCCTGGAATAAATGGCATCTCCTTGCCTCTATATTGATGCGGCGTGACATCCCACTACCACTACGATCAAGACTTTATAAATCTGTGAAACGTCCGGTGTTGTTATATGGTGCAGAAACATGGCCAATGACAACCAAACTGGAACAACAACTTCAACGAACCGACATGAAAATGCTCCGATGGATGCAACGAATTATTCTGAAGGACCACATCAAATCCACCGAAATCCTGCGTCGTGCTGGTTTAGATGATATAAAAGACGAATGCCGGCAACACCTTCTGCGGTGGTTTGGTCATGTCAAACGAAGTAGAAACAGTGCCATAATTTCTCTTGCAGATGTTGAAGTACTTGGCACACGTCCCAAAGGCCGTTCAAAGATGTCCTGGTCGCAAACAATCGAGCAAGACATGAAAGCTCTAAATTTAAATGAAATGGATACAACTGATCGTCTAATTTGGCGCAAAAAGTTGATGGCAAAGAAAACAACGTCCTACCTCGGGGAACCGGGACTCTGGACGCAAAACGAAGATTGATTGATTGATTTGTTTAACTAATTGCAAATTAAAAAGAAAATGAGTAGTTGTGGCATTGTTATTACAAGAAGACCGCACTGTTTTAACTGATTAAGCAAATAATCGAATATTGATAACTGCAAAAAATATTTTTTGTTCGTCAAGCAAATATTTATAAAAATAAAACAGAAGTGAAACGAATCGCCAAACTGCTAATCAATAAATTTTTCCAAACTGAACCTCTCTAGAGCATTCATGAAAAATTAAAAGCATCTGCATACTAAATATTTATTTCAAATAAAACAAAAAAAAAGATCGATAACCCACCCCACTGAATTTTGAAAAATGTGGAAGAAGGTTTCATTTTGAGAACTGGCTTAGATGGTGGCTGCGGCCTATCAGGTAGTGTCTTGAAGCAAACGATGTCACTCCACTTGCTATAACCTTCGTCATTCTGCGATTGTAACTATATTTGAAAAAAATGATGGCACCATGATGAGGTTGTAGTGATAACGATACCGTTCATGGCAATGCTAATGTTATTGTGTCTGCAAATAAAGTCACAGCTAACATGGTGATGAATGATTTTAAATAAATTTACCCTGAACTTGTATTCTGAGTTTCTCTTCAAGCCAGTAACTCTATAAGATATATCTGGGCCATTGTACACAGTTAGAAAGCCATGGCCCTAGTTTCAAAAAATGAAACTAAAAAATGAACATCCTAATGGTTAAAAAATAAAAAACATTTTCAAACAAAAACACCAGATAAGAAAAATTAAAATGAAAAATAAAAGACTAAGTCATAACAGCTTTTCAAAACAAAAAATGGTTTTGATTAGAAAATTTAACAAAAATAAAGACTCGACAATTAAGTTAAACATCAGAAATGATTGAATCAAAATAAAGTGCTGGCTACTAGCAAACTAACAGTTGATTCATCATCCATTTGGAGGGTAAACACTAGATCAGACGGTCTTTTGTTCCAAGATATTACTAACGTCTTACTCGTTGGCTCTGAGAGCAATGGGGGATCAGTCTGACATGGAGGTGAACCACTTGTTTGATAGCTTACTGGATCACTGTATTCACTGTAACATATTGTTATAAATACTTCGTTACAGTAAGCATTACTTTAAAACAAGATAAAATTCTCACGTTTTCAATAACTATTGTAAATTAGTTAAAACGATTACAATCATAGAAATTAATGATATTACGTATTTAATAATTTTTGACCAAAGTTATATAACGTCTAACAACGCTATTGGTAATATAATAATGAAAGAAATAAAATTAAACAAACAAACCTTTTTCCACAGCTATTTACAGCAGCCAATCTAAATGAATATTTTATAGAGGGCAACAATTTAGTAATTTTGAACTGCTTCTGTGGTCCATTATAAACCTCTATAAACTCTGATCTACCCTATAAATAAATTCAATATACAATGTTAGTAAAATAATCAGGGTTATGAACAAAACTTTTTAAAATTAATTCACGTTATTTGTTATATATATATATAGCTGTTAAGAAATATCACCGCACTTTCACTGCCGTAGATATAATGGTTAAGAAATATCAGTTTTGATCAGTTTCTGGTTCAATCTTTCAATATTTCGTATCGTATTTTTAACATCGTTTATCAACTTATTTATTATAGGAAACAAAGTTTTTAACAACTTTTTATTCATTTTTATCTTACACAGAAAAAGCTTTTTTCGGTAATCCTTTACCATTTTCAATGTAGTATACAATCAACTATTGGTTGTATCTTATATATATATATACTTCAAATCAAATCAAATCAAATTTTATTCAATCAATCTAAATTAATAATAATTAGGTAATGATTAGGAGACCAAAGCTAAAAGAAAACAAAATTCTTGTGTCGCAGGCCACCGTTCACAAATTGTTCATTCTAACACAATTTTTAAGTAAATTTATAATTCATGACAAAATTAACATAATGCACAATTTACATGATTCTAATTAAATAAAAATTGTACTTTTTTTCAATAAATATTTCTTTATTTTGTTTTTAAACAAATGCAAGGAATTTGTAGTCTTTATATTAACAGGAAGTTTTTCCCAGATTCCGGGACCGGTATGTTTTAAAATTCCACCAAGCAGTGTTATTCTTGCAGGTGGTGTATAGAACAGAGGAGAATGTCGAGTGAACTTTGACTGCACAGCATTTCCAAATTTGAAGAAGTCATTAAAAGATGTTGGTAATTGATAATGTAGGAACTTGAACACAAAGATAGAAACATGATAATTATACAAATTTTTTATGTTTAAAATTTTCAGTTCAGTACAATAACAGCCGACATGACTATATGGATGTAGATTTAATAGAATTTTGATGAAACGATTTTGACATCTGGTAATTTGCTTCAAATGAACTTCATGGCTGTTTCCCCAGATGATGTTGCAGTATATTAGATGTGGATAGATTAATGAATAATACAAATCTATAATTATTGGTTTATTCAATCTTACTTTAATTTTATTAATTACGCCTATGGTTTTATTAATTTTTTTCGATAACGAGTCTATATGCATATCCCACGAGAGGTTGTCCTTGATTTTCACTCCGAGAAATTTTGTGCTGGATGTACGCGGGATGCTATGGTTATTCATTTTTATATCTAAATTAGGTATTGTGTTAGTCAATATTTTTGGACCGAATAGAATGTAGTTGCATTTAGAAAAATTTACAATTAGTTTATTATTGATGAACCAATTTGAAACATCATCTAAACTTTTATTAATTATCTCTACATCGTTTGATGGATTGCTAGGTGGGGAGAAAATGTTAGTATCATCTGCATACAGAAGATGATGAGCGTCAGTAGCCAGATGAAAATCATTCATAAAAATTATAAATAGAAGTGGGCCTAAGATTGATCCTTGCGGGACTCCTGAAGTTATATTTAATTTATTTGAAGATTTGTTTTTTATCGACACATACTGATTTCTGTTTTGCAGATAGCTTATGAACCATGTATGTGCTATTCCTCTTATTTCATAGGAGTATAATTTCTTTATTAATATCTCATGATTAATAACATCAAATGCCTTGGACAGGTCTATGAAAACACCTATGGTTAGGATTTTTTTATTCAGATTATTTAATATGTTTTGTACTAAATGTAGTACTGCTAGTTCAGTTGAATGTTGTGCTCTATATCTATATTGATTTTTATTTAATAAATTATTAATATTCAAGAATGAAGTTATTCTAATAAATATAATTTTTTCCAGTACTATAGAAATAGGTGAGAGAAGGGATATTGGCCTGTAAGAGCTCATTTCCATCTTGGATCCTTTTTTATGAATAGGTATTATCTTTGATGTTTTGAAGCATTTTGGGAATATTCCTTGACTGATGGACAAATTGAATATATGTGTTATTGGATGTACAATTTCTGAGATGATTTGTTTTAAGAGATAATTACTTAATGAGTCATCAGAGGTGCTTTTTTATTGCTAAGATTCTTGACGACTGTTGATACCTCAAGTTCATCAGTGGAGTTAATGTATATGGATTTACAAATGTAGTTGTTTATTTTTGAAGATTCATTAACTGTTTGATTTTCAAGCAAATTTTCAGTAATTTTAATAAAATATTCATTGAAACAGTTACACATTTCTTCTGCATTATCGATTATGTTATTGTTGACTTTTATTTTATTGATATCATTCAACTGTTGATTTTTATTCATTATACCATTTATTATCTCCCACTTTTTCTTTGAACAGCTTTTTGCATCATTAAATCTTTGACTAAAGTAATTAGTAATATATATATACTTATATATGGGCGTTCCTACATTATTGTTCTTGAAATAAACAATTTTATGAGTTTATCTCGAAATAAATAACTTTATAAGTTTATCTTAAAATTTTTCTGTTTAATATTATATAATATATAATAATGTATAATATTAGACTGAATTTGTTAATAATGTGCGATTAGAGGCGTTGAGAGTGGATACCGTCATTTGTTCTCGTTTTCAGTGCTTTGTGAGTTATTGGCCGTGTTTCTTTGTTTCGCTGGGCAATTGAATTTTGATATTAATACTTATATAAATAGTGGGAGTCTGATAGGGAAAAGAAATAATGAGTTCTAAGGATAAGGATAAATGCACTAATTGTAATAGTGGACTAGGGCTACTAAAAATGTTTTACATTGTGTGGTGTGTAATGGTATTTGTCACCTGAAATGTGGAAAGGTCTCAGAAAAATTATTTTTGGAAATCTCTGCTATTCCTGGATATTCTTGGCTCTGTACAAGTTGTTGAGAAAGGGTAAAAAATTTAGGACCCATACATGATGTGTCTGAGAATGAAATAAAGAGAGAGAGTTGAGAGTTTTAAAAAAAGGTAATGCTGAGATACTAATGGAAATAAGGGACATAAAAAAAAGTAAATAGTTCAAATGTAATGATTAATAAATTAAGTAAGATAGAACAGTCCGAAAGCCTGGTTCAATTACAGGACAACTTAAAGATGTCCTTTGCAGGAATATTGAAGAAGGGAATAAAGAAGGAGGTAACTGAAGTTTTAAATAACATAAGGAATATCGTAGAGACACTGGAGAAAACACATAGTCACATAATGACCAAGAATGATGTAGAAATTAGATCAAAAAATGTAATCATATTCAGGTTAGAAAAAATAGGCAATGATTTAAGTGCCATAGAAAATTCGGATAGGAATGGAATTGGTGGAATATTTTTACACTTAACTGATGGCTCATTCAGCATTGCAAAGGTTAAAATAATTTACAGACTAGGTAAAAAGGGTTCACTGCCTTGACCTGTTATGGTGATTTTTAAAGATAAAAAAGTAAAAATATAATTATGGAAAATCTGAGAAAATTGATAACGATATATGATAAATTTAAAGGTGTTTGGATAAGTCATGATTTAACTAAAAATCAAAGGGAGCAAGTAAAGAAATTGGTCTCCGATGCTAAAGAAAGAAAGTTCAGATAAGGGGGGCTATATTTTCAGGGTAAGAGGAATGCAAGGAAACATGAGAGTAGTGAAATTGCAGAAAAAATGTAAATTCATCAGTCAATATATTCTGCATTCTAATGTTGATTCACTGTTAACAAATTTGATGAAATTAAGTTTTTGGTCAAAAATAATAATTATGACGTTTTGTTGTTTAATGAGACAAACCCTAAAAACCCTAGTAAATTATTTTAATTCAGAGTATAATATTGACAATTACAATCTTTTAACCGAAAATTTTATGGTTAAGGGTTTCAGTTTTTGTTCATGTAAAGTTGCTCTTAAATCTAGATTCGAGGAATTTTTATGTATTAAACTTTTGGGTGGTGCTGAACATTTTTGCATATCAATTATATATAGGAGCCCTGGCTCGGATGCTGTAAATAATGCCAATCTTTTAAAGTTACTAATAGAATTTGTGATTTTAATTTACCAGGTAATGATTGGGAGCTGGTGACGACTAACCATGGTGTCAAACCAATGGAAAATAAATTTATAAATTGTTTGCATAATTTGTTTCTATATCAGTTGGTTAAGCAGCCAACGAGGTATCGTCGAATCAGAGATCTAATGTTCTTGATTTATTAATGGTTCATGATATTGACATTATTGAGAATTTGGAGTATATAGCACCTATTGACCGCTTAGCCTTGAGTTTTAGATATAGATATGTGTGGTATAATTTAAGACATTTTGCAATCAGTAAGTATAATTTTAAAAAAGGTAATTATGACTCGATGCGTAATTTTCTTACTGTTTTTGATAAAACTGGTTCTGAATAACACGTGAAATCACTTTTCATGTATGTCCGACGGCAACTGATCTATATATACCTAAGTTTGATAGGAATAATAAAAGGTATAGGGAAAATTTTCCTTCAGCTTTGGTTTCACTTATTAAATATAAACATAAATTATGGAAAAATTTCTAAACTTCTAAAAATATTAAAATAATAATAATATTATTATTATATAATAATAATATAATAATTATATATTGAAGTTGGCTAAAAATATTAAAACTAATCCAAAAGCTTTCTGGCAACATATAAATGAAAAAAAAAATTAAGGAGTAATATTGATATTTTGTCTACAGTTGATAAATTTGGTAATAGAATAAATATAAGTAATGACAAGGAAAAAGCTAATTTGTTTGGGGCTTATTATAATAGGGTGTATATAGTGCCTGATGGGAATGATTGTGTGTCTGTTTTGGGTGATAAATGTGCTCGTGCCATGTCGTGTGATCCTATAAATGTCAGTGATGTTTTATTAGGATTAAGGAAGCTAAAAATAAATAAATCAGCTGGGCCGGATAAAATTTATTCTAGAATTCTGGTGGAATGTAGTAGTGTAGTTGCTGATTATTTATGCAATCTGTTTAATTTGTCATTGAACTGGCATGT